CTTTTTTGTTTGGACTGACAGGTGTGGGTTCAGGGTGTGCCTGGGTCTTGAACGCGCGGACCGGGGGTCCAGTTCCCATGCCTCAGGGCCGGGGAGTGCTGTGCTCCATAAGGGAGCAGGAAAAGCTAGAGCCTTGGAGTCCAACCCTGTTTAGTGGGCTCAGACGGGGAGGCCTAGCCAGAGGAAACAGGGGTTAAGCCATAATAGGTGAGACCCCAACATACCCAGAATAATAGGCAGTCTCCCACTCAAAAAAAAAAAAAAATTGCATCAAGACGTGGCAGATGAGATTATGGCGGGACTGAAGAATTACAAAACAGGCCCCAAGGGTGCCCCACGAGAGGCATGGATAATCAAAGATGGTGCTGGGGAAGGTGACCTGTCACATCCGGGCTTAATGACTTTCAGCTAAGAGGGGAAATGTGCATTTCAGTTCCTGCCAGCAATATTGTTAGCTTTAGTCCATTTTATATTAAATAATCACTGATTAGAAATTAACTAGCCACCCTGAAGAAACCAGATCCCCTCAGGCTGAAGAGGGGGTCTATAATCTAGATCTCACACTTCCTAGGCAACTGCTATAACAATGAGACTATTGTTACAAAAGCCATGCACTGCCCCTGTCCCTCTGTTTGCCCATCTGTCTGTCCATTTGTTTATCAATGAAAGTGCTGATATTTTGCATGAGTCTTGAATGTTACCTGCCAGGCTGTGTTTGGTATGCTCTGAACGTGCCTAATGGATAGGGTCTTCTGGGGAGTTAAGTACAGATGCCTTATTTGAGACTCTAAAAAATGTCTTTAGAAAGGATTGAAATGTCTTTAGACAGGATACTATGCAGAGACAAACTGTTGTTCCCTGAATCCTTAGCTCAGCCAAGAGTGTAAGGTTTTTGTGAATTACTTATTTGACTTTAAACATCTAAATTATGCCTAAAATGAGATACTTAAGTACTCTTTTTTTGGACCTCACCCTACATGCCTATCCTAATTGATACAACACACAATCAGCAGATAAAGCTGTTCTGCAAAGCCACAACTTAGAAACCTACAGTCCTTACTTTTCAGTAGCCACGTCTACATGAGACTGACTGCACAGTAGCTCATTACTGTTGCAGAGTAGTGTTGCATGGCACAAAGTGTGACACAACGCTATGAATGGTAGTAACAAGCTACTAAGTAGTTAGCAACACCAAAAGCTGTTTAGCAATGCTACTGAGCCATAACTCCAATTACTGAGCAGCCATTTAGTAGTTGTGTATAATGGCTGTCACTAAATGGCTTCTCAGTAGTATGCAAGTACTAAATGACTGCTCAGTAATATACAAGTACTAAATGGGTACTCAGTATACAAAAGTACTAAATGACTCCACAATAACAATTGCACAGTCAGCATCTCATGTTGATGCGCCCATTATGTAACAAACTATGAACTACCTAGTTAGGTAAAGGTCAATGTATATACATCTCTGGCTCTTTTTTGGATTTTTCAGTGAGAACAAGCACCAGATGTTTGAATTCCCTTGCACTGAGTCACTCATTATTGTCTGAGTGGACAGAATGACCACTTATGAGCAGATGCATACATTTTGGTGCTAGTTAAGATGCATTGAATGCAAACTTTCTTCACTTATGTTGGTCTTTCACTATTCAAGCAATATATCACCCCTAAGCCTATTTAAGAACTGAATTGTTTGGAAACAACCAAATATGCTGAGGTTATCTCTCCAATGTAGTGGGCTGAAGAAAATTTTAATAAGTAATTCTTATAATAAATTAATTTTATTTTCCCAGTCCAGATATGATAGAAAGAGGACAAATATAAATATATTATAGTAGTTGCAATATCAGCAATAACCTTTACAAAGAAGTCCTAATGCTCCAATTTTTTTAAATATGTTATTTTGTTTTGTGTTTAATAAATACTTTTGTGCTATTAAAGAAATAACATTACCGTAAATTCACTGTACTGTAAATTCTCATCTCCTGCTGTTTATAACCCTCCCATACAACTGAAGATTTAACTTACATCTCTCAAGTCTCAATACAATTTATTCATACTCATCTATGGGCACATCTATGAACCCACTTAATACAATTTTCAAGTGTCAAAAGTTGCAGATATTTTCTTTCAAAAATCCAAAAAAACAGAGTGTTAAGGGTTCCCATGATCTCTATGACTAAACTGCTAAGTTTAGTAAAGGCAGCACCATTGTCATGATCCTGACAAAAATGCCAAAAGTTTGTTGTGTCATGCCCAGCCAGCTAGTTTCCTATTAGTATAGGTCACAGTTCTGGCAAATTTAACAGACTGTTAACACATAACATGAAAAGATATATGGAAGGATAACAAGATTACACCAATTAAGGCAGTCACTTATAATCCAGATTTCATATATTTCATAGATTTTCAGGGTCGGAAGGGACCTCAGCAGATCATTGAGTCTGACCCCCTGCCCTGGGCAGGAAAGAGTGCTGGGGTCAAATGACCCCAGCTAGGTGCTTGTCCAGTCTCCTCTTAAAGACCTCCAAGGTAGGGAAGAGCACCACCACCCTTGGGAGCCCATTCCAGATTCTGGTAACCCTTACTGTAAAGAAGTTCTTCTTAATAATCTGCTCTCTGTCAGTCTGTGGTCATTGTTTCTAGTTACTCCAAGGGGTGCCCTGGTAAACAAAGTATCTTCTATGCCTTGCTGCCCCGCCCTCCCCC